AAGTGTCTTGTACAATCACATTTAGCGTTATAGACTATTCTTRTGAGACTCATAGTGTGATAGTTTAGTTTGCGAAACAACACAGATAATTAAAAGATTTTCTGGATTGAAAATCATAATGTATGCAATAGTAGTAAGCCAAGTCCAGTTTACGAATTTACGAATTTTGTTTTATTGCCAAAATYGTACAAGTAAATAGCCTACAAACAAACGCAGCAAAAAAAAAAAAGATTTATCTCAGCCAACTCGAACATGCTCGAAATGTTTGTGCCGATCGCAGCGATTTTCACTTTAGCTTTTTATGTGAAATCCTCGTGAATGCAGAGACTACTCACACGTGCATTAATTCGCCGAAAAAATCGCAGTTCTCTCTAGTGTAAACAGGACTTCAATGTCTCTTTGACTCACCAAATAAAGAAGCAAAATGACAATGATAAAATGAATACAAATTTGGTTACTATGAAAGAAACATGGATGGGGGAAAACAAGAAACCATCTTTTCATCCTTATCATGTAGTACTGAGTACAATCACTAACTACAAAAGAGGCCAATAAAAATGKGAAAGAAAATTTAGAAACTTTCCCTTCATTCTTTATGATGTAATGAGTACAGATTTGATTATTGTTTCTTAATTGGTCGATTAAATTGTGCGTCAATTATCCTCTTGAGATAAAAGATGGTTTCAGGCAGTCAAAAGCATCTTACCTTAGAAAACCACAATTGTCTGTTTGGTCGTCGGTGATAAAGTGATTGAGATCACAAGTCCAGGCGACTTTTACCAGTAAAARAGTTATATTAGAAAATTTTACCGCAAAAACCTTAAGTCCCCATGGAAACGCTTCGTAATTATGTCGGTTATTAAAACAAATTGAGAAATAGATAAATCATTTATTGACACAAAAATAACCCTAGCTGCCAAAGACTATTACAATAGCAGGAAATATAAAATCGATGAAAATGGATAAATAAGGGATACGACTTTTTGTTTTTTCGGTGCAGTTTCATCACTAGCCTATAGTTCTCAGATAGCTGGGTACTTTACTAACACCACWMAAGGTCATTAGGGTTGAACACTGTGACAGAAATCCTGGACCCACCCACCCCCTGAACACAAATCGTGTTAAGGAAGTATGTAATGTAACGTCGRAAGGAGATAAGATAGTGCGCAATGCTTGCTGGTTGTATTTTCTATATATGCACACAATGTCAAGTTTCGAGTTTTATTTCAGTATCCCTTCTTGAATTCATCGTTTACAAGAACACCGTGATTAAGATTTTCAATTATGTCATCCCTGCTAAGTAAATTTTGATTTCTTTTTCAAAATGGATGTTAACCAAGTAATGCCCGTTCAGTCTACCATAGCTCAGTAGATGAAATTTGTTTCTTGCTATTCTTTCAATTCTGTCAAATAAGAGATTAGAACAATCAATCACCCTTTTCCAGCCCCTGTCCTTACTCTAACTTGTACCTCCCCCCCTCCCCATTTATTCGTACCTTATCTGATAAAAAGGCTATACAACCCACTCCTCCCTTACCTTAGATTAAGTAGATGTCATTGGCCCAGTCACTTCCCTTCCCATCCTCACAAATGTCCGTTTTTCCTCGCTCGTTATAGCGCGTCAGTATTTCAGCACTTGACCAACACTCTCCGCCGTACTGCAACCCGAACCCTTTGTAACCCTTGGCCCTGAAAAATACGTACAAACAACTCACAACTGGCAATCATAGAGAGTTGAGATTAAAGGATTAAGTGCCTAATTGGGGTGTGATCACGAACAAAAAGCCCACACATTAATTAAAAACCTGGATCTTAACTTGCATATGGTATGTTTATTACGTGGGCTTCCTGTGGAAGTCCACGTCTTAAAATGCAACTGGCGATTTCGTCGTGGTCGTCGTGAATATTACGCTTCAAATTGGTAGCGCATCGATAGCGCATGCGTTGCAGTCTCAGTTTCCATGGGGATGTCGAAGTAAAATCAANATAAAAAGGCTATACAACCCACTCCTCCCTTACCTTAGATTAAGTAGATGTCATTGGCCCAGTCACTTCCCTTCCCATCCTCACAAATGTCCGTTTTTCCTCGCTCGTTATAGCGCGTCAGTATTTCAGCACTTGACCAACACTCTCCGCCGTACTGCAACCCGAACCCTTTGTAACCCTTGGCCCTGAAAAATACGTACAAACAACTCACAACTGGCAATCATAGAGAGTTGAGATTAAAGGATTAAGTGCCTAATTGGGGTGTGATCACGAACAAAAAGCCCACACATTAATTAAAAACCTGGATCTTAACTTGCATATGGTATGTTTATTGTTCTTAAAATGTGCTCTCTCTGATAGAGCTTCAGTATTCAACGATCCTGAAGCGTAGCTGGTCAGGCTTATTCGATTGAAGCAAAAATGGGAAAAGGAAATGATAAAAAAAGAAAACAGCATTCATGACGCTGCCAAGCAATCGTTCTATTCAGATGAAAAGAAGTAATGTGAAATAGAAGAATAGAAATAAGAATTTCTTGAAATATTAAATGAATAAAAATATAGAGGAATGACTTCTCACGAGACGGCTTCGAAGCACTTGAGGTAGCTATCYTCTCGCCACGTGCCAAGCAACTCAAATCTCCTCCACGCCTCGTCCTTCCAACAACCAAGTGACGTATACTGTGACGTAGAATTGATGTAATACACGTCATTGACCCAACTTTCTCCAACACCATTGGTGCATCCGGTACCGGGACCATATTTCTTGTACACTGACAGGCCGTGGGGACTGCGTAAATAACAGTATGGAATCACATCTAGGTGGTGAGAATGTAAGCTTAAGTAGCATTAACTCTTGAAAACGGACACAAGATTTGACAAATAGTGAAAAGGAATGATTGAATGATTGAAAAGCTCAAGAGAATCGTACCTTGAGTAGCATTCTCCATCATACTGAATTCCAAATACAGTAAGACCTTTTGCTTTGGCTGCTGCAAAGCAGTTCGCTAAAGCAACACTTGGTGACACTTTTGGCCATATACCAAGGACGTCAGGCAGAGCACGCAATGGATCGTCGTTGAAACATCCCTCACTTTTGAAAGCTGCAATCGGTATAATCATTATTGTCATGAAGAACACTCTGACATCTTTGCCGTGCGATATTACATAGAGGGCGATTCAAGGCAGCGATTGTCGGGGCTGCGATAAAATGCCGCAAAAAATAATAATAATAATAATAATAATAATAATAATAATAATAATAATAATAAATAAATAAATAAATAAAACGCTGCACTTGTCATCACACGTGATTTTTTGTTATTGCCTGTTATGTGTTCTCACCAAGTCTATAAACATCGTTACGCCATTGTCCACCAAGACCATTGTAGCAGCCAGTACCTACTCCATGTTTGCCGTAAGTAGAAGCTACATCAGGGCCTGACCAGCATTCACCATTATTCTGCACACCAAAGTATGTCCATTTCTTTGCTAAAACTTCCTGGAAACACCTTGAAAACGATACATTCAAATGATTCAGAGGGACCTCATCAACTCCTTTTTGGGGGAACTGAAGATACTGTTATTATCTACCTTAAGCCCTTATAGAAATGGCCAATGTCGATTCATATCAATTCTACATCTGTGTTTTATCAAGGTTTTACAGGGATTATTTATTTTTGTCTCTTTGCGACTGTTTTAATTTCGCTTATAAAAAACTGCTGTCCTTAACAAATTGTAATAGCGTTGAACTAAACTCTCCTCCGGGAAAAACTAGAGAAACAAAGTTTATTTGTACCAGTGTTTGTGCTATCGCTTATGTAAAAATTACTTTGGTGAAAATTATTTTGCAACTTGGTAACAACTTTGTCAATAATTTCTTTTAGTGGTCACTATTCCACCTTGACTATTAATATAATATACCTATGGATTGCATTTTGGCTGAAGAAACCAATATAAACAGGCAATGCTCGATCTCTTGAGTCTTTGAAGCATCCTTCTCTAGGRTGCAACTTTTTGTATGGGTCGAATCCAGGAGCAAAGTAAACGTCATTGGATGTTGGACTCCCTGTGCCGTCCTTACAGTCTGAACCAGCACCGTACTTATCAAAACTCTCTGAAGCATCTTTGCTAGAGTAACAATCTCCGCCATTTTGGACACCAAAGACTGTGTAAAGTAATTCGTGTACCTTCTGGTAACAGCGCAGCACAGCGTCTGGCCCAGTAAATCTACCCAGGAAATCACCCATCGCTTTTGGTGAACCATCTTTGTAGCATCCTTTCCTGAAGTARTCTRCAAGACAAAAGGAATTCTGGGCAGACGTGAGCKTTGAGCTTTGAGATGTCACACTCCCTGGAGATCATGGTGAATTTCAAAACGTTTCGAGTGTGCGCCYATTGCTCATGCTCTGATGTCTGCCACAGAACTTACAAAAGCGAGTAGATGAAAAGATTAACTTTACATTCGTTTACTAATATAAAAAGAGCCTTATTTCTTCCAGGGTTAAACGACTTTATTCAGGAACTTTATTCTATTGTCAAACTGAACGAGTCTATGCTGGTTTATATAATATATTGTTGATAAGTGTAAAGGAAGAGTTTGTCTGGCAGCATGCTTATATGTATGTGTATATAAAATGTGACTGTAATAGAACTTTGACTTGAGCCTGTCGAGCTGGCGTCCTTCGCAATTCAACACCCGTGCTGCGATGTAAGGCAACTAACACTCACCGACTTTCCTTTTCCTAATATTTTAATAATGTCCAAGCCATTTCTTCCTTGAGCTCTACAAACCTTTGAGTTTAGAGTCCTCTTTGATATAGTTAAATCGTGTTTTCAATAATATAATACCCGCCAGTCATGATTCCCATGGACTACAAACCTTTGTAAAGGAAGGGCTGAGAGTTTTCTATGCACAAGACTCCGTAGTTATACTGTTTATTCCACGCTATACTGAAAACATGGAGCATTCTAGAGACAATCACTTACTTGTATCCTTCTTSACTGGAAGCCGCACGTGAACTACTCACTTTTGACACKGAATCTTGATATTTGTGTTCAATGTCGTGTCGATATAGCAAGTTTCTTCGTTAATTAGCACTCTAAATGGATTGTATCAGAATCTGACGTTTCTTCTTGTTCTCAACCCTGTATAGGTGGCTAACTACGTCTTCTTTCATGATCGTCCGATTTAATTTTGTGATTGTACTTCAGTCTCAATGCCCGCATTGTACCTGACTTTCTAGCTCCAGTGAAGACAAGCGAAGAATTGACAATACTGTTACACAATGTCAGTAAAGTGTTGCTTCATCTTTTCCATGAAGAGCAAGGCTGGCAGACACGCCAAACTACTTTGCCTTACAAAATATCATTTGCGCGCCTGGCTCTACGATCTTGATCTTACCTTCATTGGAAATTACAATGTGTAAAACCATTACATTAACACGAGGCTGCATGAATTCAAAATACCTGAAGCTCTGGATCTTGGTTAGTTGAGCCCCTAGAGTCCGGGTTGAATTTCAAACAAAGTGAATCTRTTCGGACTAACATTAATCCTACTCGGAGCATAAGGGCTGAGCAAGCTGTTACGATGCGAATGTTCATTGTCAATACTTATCATGGATTTTAGATAGTTTATAAAGTTTCATCAACCAATCAAACGAAGCAAACTGCTTCTTTATCCTATCTCACTTGTACTTTATAACTCATGTACGTACCTAAGGCAATGTACTGAAGACTCTATGAAACAGTTGAGAATTTCCACAACGATCCATCAGTTACTTACAAATCTAGGATACATTGCCTCCACATAACGAAAGTTTGAACAACAAGCTACTTCACGCGCGCAGTCAGTCGGTGCAAGAGTTAAGAACCCCTTAAATTATGAACAGACCTTTGAACATAATGACCACCTCTAGAAAACAACCCCTAAACAATACTTACATTACAATGAAGAACACTGTGTATCTCTGGTCGTTTTATAGAGTTTGTCGTTGTTTAAAGGTCTGACTGATTCTACTCACTAACAGAATAGACGTCGTTAGCCCAGCTACCACCAAGACCGTCTTTACAGTCGCCAGCTTCACCATACTTGCTGTAAGTCAATTCAATCTTATCACCAGACCAACACTCGCCACCGTGTTGTAAACCAAACATAATGAAACCACCCTTAATGGCGTCTTCATAACACTTCTCGATGGCGTCGTTACGGTTTTTTCTTGCTCCCTGAAGGCTTCCCATTGCTCTATTAGCCATGTCTCGGTAACAGCCATGGTGCTCGTACTTGGGTGAATAGTCGTGAATAAAGTAGACATCATTGGCCCAGCCTCCCCCTGAATCAGTCAGTCATTCACAATCAGACCGAGCTCTCTGTCCATTCGTCCATCCATCCATCCATCCATCCATCAATCAAAATCCACTTTAACTCAAATCAATCAACTATTCAAACAATTATTTGTATTCAACCAATCAAACAGTCGATCAAATAATACATTGTTCAATCAATCAATCAATCTCTCGATCGATGTTTCAAWCAACCAATCAATCAATCACGATCTTTCAATCAACCAATCAATCAATCACGATCTTTCAATCAACCAATCAATCAATCACGATCTTTCAATCAACCAATCAATCAATCGCGATCTTTCAATCAACCAATCAATCTCTCGATCGATGTTTCAATCAACCAATCAATCAATCGCGATCTTTCAATCAGCCAATCAATCGCGATCTTTCAATCAACCAATCAATCTCTCGATCGATGTTTCA